GCAGTTTTCAAGGTACTAGTAAGATGACCCGCGACTCCAAAACATGCATGGTGGGTGTGAAATAGCTCTCTTCATGCATCATAGTTCGATTGATTGAGATCCAAGATGAGATGTATATAAACCTTGATGTTGGTGACACCGAAATGTTTTTGATTTTTAGATGCTTCCAACATCAAGTATAAAGAAGGAGTAGAAGAAACGAATAGAAGAATATGGTAGAAGACATGAGAGATGCCGATGAGAGGAAGGCCAACGGTAGGAGGTGGGAGCTAGGCTTAGGAGAAGAAAATTCTATGGTATCTGATACCATGTAAAATTGTTATTTTCTCATGAATTGGTCATAAACATTTACATCCATTAATAAATATATTACAATAGAAACTAGGCCATACAAGATGGACAATACATAAATAATACAACATCAAAGTTTGGGCCTATACAAACATTTGAAACATGCATATGCTAATATAAAGTAGTTCATATAAAATTTTGTTTTATTTTTAAAAAGGGCAAATTGCACCCTTTTGGGCGGCCTACTAAATCTATTATATTAACTAGAAAGGGTCCCCGCGTTGCGGGGGTTGGAAGGTGTTTGGTAGCCACAGTAAAGAAGGTTGCCATTCTCTACAATTTGACCATTTACAAATGCATAATAGTCAAATATGTTGAACAAAATGAATGTACATTGATATTTCTTAATTGCATTACTATAACTGAAAAACAAATCAATGAAGGTACATTGGTACTTCTTGTATTTAATCCAAGAATAAAAAAAATTAACCATCCACTCCATGCTTCTGTCCATATTGTGGTCTTATATGGTTTGTTAGGAGTAAAAGTTTCGCAATAGAATCCATTGCATGTGTTTATCCTGTCAGTTTTGGAAATATAGGCAAAAAATCTTGCATAAGAAAATGTCAAAAACTATCAGGAACGAAATGTCAAAACTGAAATGGGTTTTTCAATCCTTCAATTAGAAATGATCCATGAAAATTGAATGATAGTTACTTAGTCAAAACTTTAAGAGGTTTTCCTAGTAACCACACATAAAATGTTAATGAAACTAATCCAAGAAACCATTTTTCTAGTTAGTTTTAGGGAAAAAAAACACCAACAGTGAGAAACTAATCCAAGAAAACATTTTTCTAGTTGGTTGTGAAAAAAACACCAACAGTGAGAAACTAATCCAAGAAAACATTTTTCTAGTTGGTTGTGAAAAAAACACCAAGAGTGACATTCTAAACATCTACACATATTTGTTGATCTTTTTTTGTTACTTTTCGGACAAAAAGAAAACTCTGTAGTTGTTTCTTTTTTCCCCCTTAAACCGACGGCTATATAAAAAATAATGAAAATACGGAACCACTTTAATTTATACAAAAAATAGTTCAAATTAAAAGATTGTTAAAAGGGGAAACCGTCGATTTAACATAAATTGCATGTAAAAAAATTGAATTTCAAAACAAAAAGAAAAGGGAATGTATCTCACCTGATAAAGTCTTTGGCTGAAATGACCAATCTTATAGAGAGGTCTGTCAAAAAGGCCCTTCATATAAAAAACATTGAACCCGTTAGTTTATATTACACCATTTCAAACATATTTACTCTATAAATTTAGAATCGATATTCTTCACAGACAAAAAAGGTTGCTAACATCCAACCTTCATACATTTTCTAAACTTTGGGACAAAACTCTAAAAATGGTTCATTCAAAAAATGATACAATACGTCTTTCACTTGTTATAAGTAATATGATTCAGAAATGGATCATTCCATTCCATTCCAATAGCCGTTATTGATTCCAATGGAATATACAATTCCATTCTTTCCCCAATAACATCATTTCAAAGTACATCTAAAAGAGTAGTCATTCATCATTTACCTCATCTTTCATCATGTTGTGTCTCGTTTGCACCTAACCAAACTTTTATAATCATCAAAAAGAATGTTGAATCCAATCGATTTTTTCTAGCCAAATTATTAATCATCCTACAATCAGCATCAACAGAAGGAGAATTTATAATATCTTGAAACTTCAATTCTAAATTATTGTTGTAAATTGTTACAACAATGGTCCATATGGCAGTAAATTGATACATAAATGGTCCATGTTATAGTTGACTGTTACATAATTGGTTTTTGTAATAGTAAACTGTCATAGGGACCATTTACGTAAGAATTTAATGTCATAGGGACTTTTTTGTAACACTTAACTGCGATGGGACCAGTTACGTAATTGTTTGCTACATCAGGCACCAAATATGTAATTGACAAATGCAGCTTTTTTATGTTGTCTATTTTAAATAACACAAACTAAAAAAATATCAGAAATAGCATAACACACACAGTAAACCAATCAAATTATCATAAAATAATGCATAAATGAGAATATACTTGAGTTAGTTTGATATGTTTAGAATGTAGAACATTTTTTCTATGAACTGAACACCATTTTACTGTTATACTATTTGGATGTATATTGTTTTTTTTTTCAAACTGATGCAATGTAGAGTGCTATAAAGCACACTTTCATGCTAACATAAAAAAGAAATACAATACAAATACCAAAACTTACATTTTACATACTAAACTTTTAAAAATTAAATCATAATTATGAGATGATCGATACCAGTCCCTGAATGGGTTGTTGGATTCCATAACAGTCATCTTTAAAAAGGTGCCATCAAGTTAAGTTGAACCTAAACTAACGACACAAAAAAAAATACTGAATCAGCTAAAAAACTAAAAGATTCTACAAATATGGTTTACAACCTATATAATCAAAACCCGGCATAAAAATGCCAAGGTGTAAATCCTAATCCATCAATGTTCTATATATTTTTTGTAAAGCACTAATTAATAATTGCAATACCTCTTTGGCTCTTTCTTATGAAAATTGCCTCCATCAAGCATTGAAGCCTTTTTGTTTTGAAAAACATGTGAGAAATGTTGAGCAATTCCTGCACCAATACTTGCGATCACTGGTATGCTCATAGCATCCGAGAATAGTTTTATCAGATTAATATCAAATCTTTTTCCCTGGCCTGGATATAAAAAATAAAAATTCATACATAAACTATAACACTTTTAACAAAAATAAAGAAAGAAAGAAACTGAAAAATGTGTGTGTCGTTTGATTATTATTTAGATACCATCACAGTTGAGCAAAATTTCACCAGTTTCTAATTCTTCTACAACTTTAGTAAGCTCATATTTGTATTTCATTAATGGTCCATTTTACTCTTTGCCTTATGATTTTTTATCCACTTATGAACGACAAAATAGAAACAAATGAAGGGTATATAAGTAATTTTGTCATTTGCATACAGAGGTTGAAAAAGAAGAGTAGAAGCACAATTTTGGTACCTAAGTATAGATGATTTTTATAATTTTGGTCCTCATTTTCAGTTTTTTTTTTACATATAGTCATTTTACTTGGAACAAAGAGCAAAAACATTTAAAAAAAAACCTCAAATAAGGTCGAAAACAGCAAGATATATTTTTTGGGGAAAAAAAAAAAACTAAAAGAGTCTGTTTACTTAGCGACCAAAAATGTGAAGTACACTAAAAAAGAACTAACCCGTTCAAGATATATGAGGGTGTGGGAAGTTCCAACAACATCCAGATGTAAACCTAATAAGGATAATTGATAATCAAGTTGGGATGCAAATTCAACAATTACATAGCAAATCCAGAAACAATTGCATGTACTGAAAAATAGAAAGTGAAATATATGTTAATGGCTTGTGACGCTCAAAGAAAGTGGGTTTTAATAGATCCATTCAATTGTTGCCTCGATTTACAATCAAATTCATGAGGTGGAAGACCTTCTATGTTGTCCAAACCATACTCGACAATTCTAATTTCAATCCAATAACATGTTTCTTTGTTATGTTTGTCGATAAAATTACTAACCTTACTGAAGTTCAATGTAAGATGGGACAAAGTAAATTAACATGAATTTATGACAAAAATATGTGTGGATACTTACCTGAACATTTTTTTTTGTGATGAATTTACTCTTTCAAGTTGTGTAGGACACTGAAAAAAAAAAAAAAAAAAAAAACTAATGAGAAAGAAAAATAGAGAAACTAAATCAAGAAAAACTGAACAAATATTAGGTAAAAAAAGGAAAATCAGCATACCTCAGCTAAGCAGACGTTTGGTTGACAAAAGCAGTGGAGGGAACAGATGTAGACGATTGAATTTTGGAGAGTTTTGACTTTAAAGGTAAAATCATTGTATCTCAGAGTATTAAAATTTTTCATACTTATCTATTGACCACATTATAAATCCCAATCAAATTAGCATAATTCTTGGACGAAACAAAAGGTAAGAAACTCCTAACCTGCTCAATCACTGGTCCATTTGAGAGATCGAAAGCAGCAGCATTGAGTTACACAATTTCCACTAAAATTCATAAGAATAATTATTAAACTGTAAAGACTTCCCAGATCGTGAAAAGTAATCAGGTGCAAGACTGAAACTATCCTACAAATTTACATCAAATACTCGTAAGAAACACGTAAATAAAAACCGATCAACAAAACCCACATAAGAATTAGGGTTTAGATCAATGTTATTGTTTGAAAGGGTTATATGAGTGGAAAAATTAGTAAATATGAAGATTTTGAATGGAAACAAAACCCTACCTTGTTTACATCTACGACACCGATGAGAAAGTTCACTTTATCATCATTCGAGAACAACGTTGTGTTAATTTTCAACGCCATCAGTGGAGAAAGCCATGGATTAGGGTAGACAGATCAGAGATGGGGAGAAATTGGGTTTTCATGGCCACATGAATAATCATGGTGGCGGAAGCTGCTGAGTCGCTTTGCTTGTCGCAGTCTGCATTCTCCTGCTTCTTTAATGGATGCTATGGCAGAGGCGGTGTCGGTGAAAGCTAAAACGGAGTCCGATTGATGGTCATTTTCATCGCGTCTCTATTCCCATCATGACCAACAACGAAATCTGAGATGGTTTTTTGTCAATCAAAGCAAGCAGATGGGGAATCATAATCGGTGGGTATGGAAGAAAGACCCTTCTAGGAGGAGGTCATATGGCGGTGGAAGAATCGGGAAGAGATTGGACGAATTCCACATTTATCGGTGGAGGGATTAAGCGGGGATTAAACAAACCATGGTAGACTAACTAACCCAAGGAACAGTATCTGTGGTCAGGCGGCACTGTAGCTAAGGATGGATATATATATATATATATATATATATATATATATATATATATATATATATATATATATATATATATATATATATATATATATATATATATATATATATAAAAGGATAGGATTAAATGAGAACGCCTAAAAGGTTGAGAACGCGACAACACTTATCAGCCAATCATTTTATTAGGGTATTTAAGTAAATTTGTATTTAATCTATTTTTTAATTAATATAATACAATTAATAATCAATATATTATCCATTAATAATTTCCTATAATTAAGGGATATTCCATAGTTATCGTTCAAGGAGATATTGAATTGAAGATACGATTTCCAGGGACGATTTCGAGTATAGCAATCGGGATTTCATTCGAATTTTGTCTATTGTTAATCATTTACGTTTGAAGATAACAACGCAATATACCATTCGTGATTCAAATCAATATCAATGTCGGACTGTTTTGATTACAGTAGCGATGATACTAGGGGTGAGCATGGTGCGGTTTTCAGACCAAACCGAACCACAAACCGCATGGTGCGGTTTTTGCATTCTTAAAACCGTTGGGTGCGGTTTTGCAATGGTTCGGTTTTTCGGTTTTTAATTGCGGTTTCGGTTTGTATCGGTGCGGTTTCGGTTTTTAAACCGTGTTAAGAATTTCGTGCAGTTTTCTTATGTTTTTTCGTGCGGTTTTTTTAAACTGTAAGAACTGAAAACCATGTGCATGTAAGCTTGTATTGTGCTGTTTTTTTTAATACATTCATTTTCAGCTCAAAACAAAATTATATAATCAAAAATTGTAACTCGCTTAAAATACAACTTGTCACTACTCTTACAAACTAATTAATGATTGAAGGTTGGTTGATTTTGAGTTAATTTGTTACAAGCTTATTACATGTAATCGATTAGTACGTTTGGCTAACAATAGAACATTTCTTTTGCACCCCATATAGTTTTATACAAACACAAAATAAACATATAATAAATATATTATCGTTTATAACTATTTTAAATAGAATGTATATAATATACATTGATTGATTTATTACTATACACACTTGCGGTGCGGTTCGGTTTTGATGGATCGGTTTTTAGGATAGAAACCGCACCGCACCGTTGACCTTCGGTTTTTGCAAAAATTAAATCCGCACCATTGGTTTTTGCAACGGTTTCGGTTTTTCAGTTGCGGTTTTGTCGGTTTTTCTTTAGTCGGTTCGGTTTTTGCTCACCCCTAGATGATACAGAAAACGATGATCAATATGGCGAAGAAGAAATCAACTGTAATGAATATGATGACGACGATTCCTATAATTTTGATGATCAATTCAACGGAAGAAATCAATTATCTGATTATGCGAGTGAAGGTAAATAATGAAAACAATGTCAATATCTTGTAAATACAGATCGTGTTTTTCAATATTTATTGAATTTTTGTATATGTTGAATAAGACCGGAGTACATATTTGTATATGATTAGTCATATATGTTGCATGTATTAATTACGTAATGCTGGTTTATATCACATATCGTTGTACAGGAGTCCTTCGTTGGTGATTTTTTCTTAAGTTTAATACAATGTTGATTAAGTTTGATAATCATTGGTGATTATGCGTTATTACGACTCAAATAAGTAAACAATTCAACTCTGGTTACTGTTTCACAGATGTTTATTATGATTATAAAGTTATGTAGTTTATGTATACGTAATTCATAGAAATTTATATCAGGTCTTGCATGTCGTATTATTGTTTTTTGTTGTCTTAAAAACAGGTACAAATCGAACTGATTCTGAAGAGGAATCATTCAATAGTAATGTTGTTGACTCGCCTGGTGGGAAAACCAAGTTGTGGAAACCTATTGTTCCTAAAGATTTTATGCCAGATGTAGATGCTATATATCAATCATTAGAGGAGGCGGTTGAAATGTATAAATTATATGCAGATAAAGCAGGTTTTTATGTCAGGTTAAATACGGTAACGAGGTTTGGTGACAAAAGCATTAAAAAAAGATATGTAGTGTGCAACAAAATGGGTAAAATACCTAACAGATCAACTGACACTTTGGATCCTGAGGGGAGTGGAAGGAATAAACGAAACTCAAACTTCAAAATTACGGACTGCAAGGCATTGATAAAGTTTGAAAGGTTACATATGCAAACTAATGCTTGTAAAATATATGAGTTTGAAGAGAATCACAACCACCCCCTAGAGACTAAAGAAGAAAGACGGTATTCCAAACGTGCACGACGACTTAGTTATAAAGACAAGGAGTTTATAGTGCGTTCTTCAACATCTAACATTGGTGCAACAAAGGCACACAAGTTACAAGCTAGTTTGCAAGGAGGTTATGAAAACGTTGGCCCTGAAGCAACTGATTATAAAAATTTCAGAAAGAATGTGGGAAACATTATAGGTGACAAGGATGCACAGCTGGTTGTTGACAAAATGAACATGAGGAAAGATTAGTTACATAATTACACATTTGAGTATAAATGTGTTGATAGTGTGTTAAACGCAATGTTTTGGGCGGATGAAACCGATAAGTTATATTACAAGGAGTTTGGAGATGTGATATCATTTGATGCTACATTCCGAACAAATAAGTATGCTCTTATACTCATTACACTTTTTTTTTATTTAAGTATGAATATTGATGTTTTTTTGACTTTGTAATCAATATTGAATCTGTTTTTAATTACCTTTTTGATACAGGTATGGAATGATTTTTGTGCCGTTTACAGCCATTGATAACCACAAACGTTCAATAAACATTGGGGCAGGTTTGTTAAGCAACGAGTCAATAGAATCTTATCGTTGGTTGCTCGAAGCTTTTTTGAAAGCACATGTAAAACACCCTCAATTAGTGTTAACAGACCAAGATCCAACAATTCTACAGGCCGTTGAAGCAATATTTCCTACTTCTAATCATCGTTTATGTATGTGGCACATTATGAAAAAACTACAAGCCAAGGTGTGTATATTTTGGTCTAAGTTAACACGCAACATGTTTTATTCATTAATGATTTACACAGTTTTACATATTTTTAATAACGATTAGCATACATATTGTTTATTCATAGTTAATCTAATAAATTTCTATTTTTTTTAGGTTTCAGCCGATTTTTTGAAAAACACTGATTTTCGTAAGCGTTTTACAAAGCTTGTTTGGAATGTCTATATCGAGCCTGAAGTGTTTGAATCAAGGTCGAAACTGCTTATGAGAAAATTCAAACTACAAGACAAAAGATGGTTCAAAGACATGTACAGGGATCGAAAACTTTGGATTCCAGCCTATTTTAAAGACATGCCACTACACGGTCTGATGAAAACTACTTCAAGGTCTGAAAGCGTGAACTCATATTTTAATAAATACTCTAACTCTGGTAATTTGCTTATCTATTTCATGATGAACTACGACACCGCAATTGGAAAGCAACGAAATGCTCAACAGAAACTAGAACATGATACAAAAAATGCAAAGCATGAAATGACGCTTCCAAGTGGCTTACTAGAACATGCAGCTGTGGTTTACACTAAAAAAATTTTCTTTGAGGTCAAAAAGGAAATATTTAAAGCAGCCTGGTACTGTTCTATCGACAGTGTTGAAAAGATTGACAGGTGGCAAGTTGTTATGATTACACAAACGGATAAGAGCAAACAGTTGAAGATAAAATGCAAGGTTATATTCATCGTTTAAACGCTTTTCATTAGTCATCATAAAAGTATATTATATCATTATTTTTAAATTACATATATTTTTTTCATTATTATGCAATAACCACCAACTAATATGTTACTTCAATCAGTTACTAACATACATTATTTTTATTATACAATGTAGGTTGAACTAAAGTTGCCTGAAAAAGAAGTTAAATGTTCATGCAATCAATTCATACGTACTAGCATTTTGTGTCATCATATTTTTGTTGTATTGAAAAACAACCATATTGAAGAGATTCCAAAGCAGTATATTCTAAGAAGATGGAGAAGGGATGCAATTTCCAGCCATTTGCTTGCCATGAAACATGTTGCCATGGAAATAGAAGATGACACCTTTAAACTTCTAACAGAGGCATACAACAATATTGAATACTGGTTGGATCATTTCAAAAGAAGCAAAGAGAAATTGTTGGAATTTGTTGAAAAAACATGTACGTTGAAGCAGGCAGCAATGGAGTTTGGCAGTTCCAGCCAAACATCATCTGATAACGATGAAGAAGAAATTATTCGGATGCTTGGAATACGCAGCATTCCTGATGAAATAAATATCCATCCACCTGCATCTATACGTACCAAAGGTAGTGGAACTAAGAAAAGAATGGTTAGTGCTATTGAGAAAGCCGTTGCAGCTGCAAAGAAAAAAACCAGAATGTGCACAGGTTGCAATCAATATGTTAACCATAATTTGAGGACTTGCAAAGTAAGACTTGCACGAGAGTCAAAAGCAGCTTAAAATTGCCCAGTCGTTTTCCCAATAGATTTTACTTTTCTATTACATTTATGAATAAGAATATGTTTCTATGATTTAGTAGGTTATGTTATCTTAAACCACTTTCATTATTTTTAACGTTTTTATTTTATTCATAGATGAATAATAGCAATGCCAAATTTGGTAATGTTAACAGATTAATGATATTATCTGGCATTTAAACCTCTTTTATTAGATTAAAACAATTCTCACTTACAATAGATATACTTTTCCTTTCTTGAAATTATAAAACCATCAATCATTATATACTATAGTCATATACAATCCAAGCAGTATTCATAGTTTATTGTATGTTGTTAGTAGTATATCTTAATAACAAATGTTTGTACGATTAATTTTTAAAACAGCTATACATCATATATTGATTTACATTTGCGTTTGGGTAAATTTTAGTCATAAGTTTAACCATGGTCGACTTTAAACCCTTAAGTATAGTCAATAATGAATAACATCATAAATACATTAATTATTTTCAACATATTGATGATATGAAAATTGTTAAATACTCTTCTGTTTAAGATAAAACAATTTGCATTTAAAGTATAATATGTTAGGAATAATTCAAGTAAGTGTTTATGCTATTATTCAATATTTAAACAACAACATACTTTAAGATATAAACCCACCAACAATCATTATATAATATAGATATGTTCACTTTAATTATTAAAAATTCTGATTGTATGTTGATAGTAAAATAGCATATTAACAAATGTTTGTTAGTTAGAATCATTACTAAATATACACTAAAACTATACCATCAATGTTAATCATTATTTTTTAACATAACTTAATTTTTCAAATGTTAATGTAAAATTATAACTACTAAAATATCACTAGTCCATTACTAAAATTACTAAACCAAAAGTAAGTATTGTACGTTCAGCAACCCAAGTTAACATCCTTAGCATACAAAAGCATTGTTTTTAAACTATCCAAAAGAAACCATTGAAGTCATAACTAAAATAACTTTTTTAACATAATTAACTTAAATCATCCAATCTCCTGTGAATTTCTTCCTTTGCAATGGCCAACATTTGAGAACGTTGTTTTGAAGGAATCTTGTGGAATTCATCAACCTTTTACAGCACATAATCCTTTTGCACATTATATTCATGAGTGAGGATTTTTTATAAATACTTTGTCCTCAGTTTAACAAGTTGATCATCTTGTGCAGAAGACTCGTTCTTGAACCCAGCTTTAAACTCATTCATACTTCCACCCATATATGTTTCCATGTGACGCATCGTAAACACACCACAATCAATGTTGTTGTTTATTGTTCTCCAAGGCATTTCCAGTCTATGTGGCATCACATGTGAAAACATCTCAGCTTTTGGATGATTATGAGATTTTAAGTAATCAACTATGTACTCTTTCTAAAAATGTAAAAAAAACATTGTCAACACATATGAAATTTTATTAAGTATGTAAAGTAATTTTTATTAATCACTTACAATGATTTGGGGCAACTGACCATATCTCTCACCATCAGGATCATCAACTTTGCTGTTGTCAACGATTACAAACTCTGGTTGTTGTAGATTGATCACAAAAAGGAAAATGTGGAAGGAACGGATGATTGGTAGGAAAAGCTGCAACGTTTATTAATTACAATTGTATTCACTTTATTTAATATTCATATTTGATCAATGATAAATACACATGTAAGTAAACTGTGGAGATATATCTCTTACCAATCCAACAAAACGTAGGCTTGCGTCCATATCTTCAATAGAAAGCACCAAATTCTCAATGAATTTATCTTTACGTTGACTTTCTGTTAAATCACTTTCAAGATACGAATTCTGTGATCGATTTTTAAAAAATCATTAACTTTTTTATATGTTGTATTTAAAAAATAGTATAATCAACATTGAATAATATTAAATTATACCGTCACATCTGTCTTGCAATAAACTCTCAGAGGCGATTCAGGTGCACGCTTACTTTCATCAAGATTCAACACTTGACTCCAATAATCAATGACATGGCCAAATAGTTCACATGTTGGAAAAATACTTTCCATGTGAAACCTCTGAGCAGAAAAACCATCCATAGTGTGGAATACTATATCACTGCAAAAGACGTGAACAATTAATACTATTTTTAATAAGCAAACAATAAAATTAAGTAATTCTAAAAATATTTTAAATGCAACTTACTTTGGCTCTCCCTGGAGAGAGAATATCCATTCTGCTACACATTTTTCCTGCCGTGGAACTCCTTTGATGATATCAACAGCCCGTATAACGTAAGGAGATTTCAGATATTCGGATTTCATGCGAGGCCTGTACCCTCTTCTACTAACCCAATGTTCATCATTGTTGAACGGTACTACAGACAAAGGAATTGGCATTTCCATTTTAGATGGTGGTGTATTCTTAAAATATTTTGTTCCAGATCTATTCACGAAGTCTGCATATTCCTGTGACATTTGAATACTACCTTTTGCTATCGGGGAGTTTTCCAACTGTTTGTTAGTTGTAGCTAGAATCAGCGTACGTTCAATTTCAGCCTCGTTATCATACCACCATTGAGATTGATCTGGTTCCTCTGATGCAGAAACTTCAGTAAACAAATCATTTACTTTGTTTTTCCATTCTTTGACCAACTGATTATCAGGATATTTCTTGACAGCATCATTTATTTTGTCTTCCAACCCTTTCTTTTGCTGCAATATCATGTTGTACATCTCCTTTATTGTTGAAATAGTTGTCTAATTAGGTCACCACAATAGAATTATGTTACAAACCAAATAAAAACATTAATATGTCAGTTAGTATTAATTAATACTTTAGAAACTCATTATTCAAATGTGAATAGGTAGTTAACTACCTCAACACTTTCCCCACTTCCACTAAAAATATCATCTCCTTGATTTCCCTACGAAAAGCAACACAATATTAGTTGTTGTACTAATAACTTATTATTTAGTAATGATTATATTATATTACTACCTTACACCTCGCATCTCCTGCATCATTTCCCTGTCAATAATGTATGAATGTAATTAATTTATACTATACCAAATAAACAAATAATAAATTTCATATGCATTGTTCAATACAATTAAAATATTACCTGAACTTTTTCTTGCCCTACATTACCAGTTCCCGATGCTTCATTGATGACTTGAAATGGATCTTGCAATTCACCCATACCCAGACCAATTGTCCTACACTATACTCTTTCTCGCTCACGTAGTTTATCAACATTCCAACAACATATTGTTGGTCTGCATCGTACAATCTTCACTGAATCGCATCGAACACTTTCTACGTATAGCAACTAGTACAAAGACAAATAAAACATGTATTACTTAAATACACTTTAATGAATCTGCACACATAAGGCTACAAATATTGAATGACAGTTTAATTTAAAACAAATCATACCAGCAGTAATATAATTGGCCCAACATAGAATCCTTTTTTGCTGTTTGGATTCCATGCACTTTTTGTCTCCTTAAGGCAATCAAAAACATATCCACACCAATCAATGTCACTTAGATCCATGTCTTTCGTCACTTTTGATAACATCAACAGGTCACATGTGCCCATGCTCATCGACTGACCTAGTGTATTACACAACAGGACAAAGATGTTTACTTTAAACATTAAATCTGCACATGTTGATTGCATAATAACTTGTTGAACTGCCCTTGGTCTAATATTATCTTCATCTTCGAATTGTTTTCTCCAAATAGTTATTGTGTCGTCTGTGACTTCTCTATAAGGCATGGACTTTATTGTAACATGTCCCAGAGGCAGACCCAACATTTCGTGAATAACTTGCCGATTGATTTGTATCTCTCCATGATGAAGTTTGAGTACCATCCTATCTGCGTTAAAATTCCTGACAATATAATGCCCCATAATTGATGCACACCCATCCACTTTCATATTCAACAAATGCCCCAGACCAATAGAAGAAATATAAGCTTCCTTTCCCTTGCTAAGGTTATGCATACAACTGTACAAAATATTTGGAGATGTCCGTACTTGTATTCGCCTAGCTTCTTCTGCACCACTTGCTACAACTTTAGGCAGTTTTCTTGGCTTCAATACATTTCCTTCTTTATTCCTTTGTCTTTTAAATTTCTTCACATTTTCTTTGTCATCATCTTTGAATGAAGTATGATGCCTTCTCTTTTTCCTTGTTACCACAATTTTGTCAGCTTCAAAATCAGACTGTTCATCTTCGTCAAGGTTCTTGACAGTAACATTATCTTTTCCTGTTAAGACATATTTAACACTATAAATGATTATAAATAAATTACCAAACCAATGCTATACTAAATTTATTAAAAAAATAACACTACCTGAAAATGAGTTTATAACAACAACTTCATCACCTTTTGTTTTACATCTATCAAAACGTCTTTTTGTTCTCAATTCATTTTCCCTATTTAGTCCACTGTCTTCTGTCAAGTCATAACTTTCAATCAAACCTGCCAATAATTAGACAACATAATCATCACTGAAGATACTGTAATATACAAGTTACATTACATGAAATCATCATTCATACCTTTTTTTCTGTATATTTTTTTTTAGCTTTTGAAAACCTTGAATTTCCTCCATCAAACTTCTTCACATTAACTTTGGGTTTCCTATTCTTTTCTATTAATAAATACAAAACAAACAAGTTATTAAAACTAGCTACAACATCAAAATCTAAATAAATTTATTTCTAAACAAGTACATTACTTGAATCTGAGCTCAAAACTACAACTTTAAGATCCCTTCGCATTGAATGAGCTGGTGTGCGATTAACACGTTCCCCCACACCTGTCCAAAAAATAAGACATATAATCACTATAGATTCAAATTGATATTTAACATTTTAAATTTCATATAATCATCATCACCACCAGTTTGTTTTTTAGTTTTCTTCTTAGGTGTTGAACACTTCTTCTGTCCTTGTCTCCTAATCTGAGGTTGTACTAGTTCGTTTCCTTCATTGTCTTCATCTTCAATATCAATAAGTAATGGATTGGATTCTTCATTAGTGAATTTGATGAATGCCGTCTTTAGTAATATCCTCTCGCTTTTCTTTCTACCTAATAATAGAATTAAAATACATTAACCATTTATAACTCAGAATTGAATCATTAACAACTCAAATAATCATCCATTATACTTACTAAACACAAACACAATTAAACACATACCCAAAAAACAGAGGAATGTTTACAATAATCATCAATAAACAAACAGTGTACTTAACTTACTCACATAAAATAGTTGGGACTCTTACACCATTATTCTTTACATACAAAACATACTCAATAAAGTACCTATTCACAAATGAATATGTCTTTAACAATACACAAAGCATACAACCAACAACAAGGAATAATACTAGAAAAAGTACTTATTTCTAAAAAACAATCGGATTTTACAAGTAATCATTAGTAATAAATGACAATTATACCCTTCGTTATTATTTTTCTACTAAACACCATTCACAATCTAATACTAACATCAATTACTCCTCTTTTCCCCAAAATCAGAGTAATGTTTACAATAAATCAACAAACAAACAGTGCAATTAACTTTCTCACATAAAACAGTTGGCACTCCTACATCATTATTCTTTACATACAAAATCATGTACAGGATCAAAACCACATACATACTCAATAAAGTACCCATTCACAACTGAATATCACTTTAACAATATACAAAACATACAACCAACAACAAGGATTAATACTAGAAAAGTACTTCTGTCGCACAAACAATCGGATTTTACAAGTAATCATTAGTAATGAATGACATTTATACCCTTCGTTATTATTTTTCAACTAAAAAACATTCACAATCAAATAATAACATCAATTACTCTTCTTGTGCTACTTATAATGTAAAAAAAGCCCTAATTTTTGGGTTTACGTAACCTTATTTCAGTTCAAAGTAGTCGACTACGATTACACATGTATATGCATCTTAGAACTATCAAACACAATCATAAACTATTGATTTTTAAGCACATTCAATATCACAATACCGTAAATTCGAAACTCATCTATAATTACCATTTTCATTTAAACAATCAAATACACCAATGTGTTATTTGTAAAACACAACATTTAAATCAACATTCATCAGAGATGAAGAATCAATACAGTTCATAATCGACGATATAAAGAAAAAACGAAAGACCCAACTTCTAGGGTTTTAAGAATCGTTAAATGTACACATTAACAAAAACTAAACACACTAATACACCCGTTTTCCAGTCAATCGACATTCAATAAAGATTAGAAACCTTACTTTTTCCACTTTGATTGATCAACGACGACATTCCTTCACCTTCGACGCTTCACAGAGTTCTGAATGCAAAATACCTCTTCACGGATGAACAGTATTAATCGCATGTGGTATAATCGTTTATCTATGATGCTATTTTTCATTCAAGATATGATCGAATCATCCAAAAGATTAAACGTTAACTGTGATTACTAAAACATAGGAACGGTTTCTTTTAATTTTCAAACTTACCCGATATATTCAAATTGGATGACATCATAAAATTACTTGAATACCCTTTTATATTTTTTTTAATTAAAAAAACAATTAAATTCATTTATTATTTTCTTTAAATTAATGATCAATGATATCCTTAGATTATAAATATTTAATGTACCAGATTTGTTCTCGCGTTCTCAACCTTTTAGGCGTTCTCATTTGATCCTTTCCCTATATATATATATATATATATATATATATATATATATATATATATATATATATATATATATATATATATATATATATATATATATAGGTAAGTTCAATTGAGAAAAAATAAAAGGTTGAGAATGGGGGAATCATTCTCAGCCAATCATTTTATACATGTAAAACACATTTAGATTAAGTCATTAAAGACACGCTGTTTTTCTGAATCGTTCATTCGTTCTTCATCAACAACATTTGTTATTTATTCATCTGGATCGTTCCTCTGTTCTTCATCAACATCATATATTCTCCATCAACATCATCTGTTCTTCATCAACGTCATCTGTTCTTCATCAAAAAAACATCAACGTCACCTGTTCATCATCAAAAAACATCGACACTTCATAAAACATCAATTGTTCATCAAATATCTTCGTTATTTCATCAAAATGTTGTGATTCATCATCAAAAACATTTATTCATACTATTAAGTGTAAGTCGTGATTCAATCTTATCCAGTTTCATTGATGTCAAGCAAAATCGATAAACATAATCCATATTTATCGATGTCACATCATTTTACGATCACCAGTCATCGAAACTTCATCAATCGAACCTTCACCAATATCAAAAAACAGATAGCAATCGAAAGTGCATCAAGATAACCATATATTTGAAGATTTTTTTAAAATCGATTTTCAGGCTTGAAAAACGAAGTTTTTCATAAAAAAATTCACAAATTTTGATCTAAACCTACTGATTATTGATTAATTTTGATAGGATTTGATTTGTGTTGTAATTATTGGCTTCAATTGTTAATTTTTTTACCATAATTATATAAGTTAATTTATTTGCACGCCAACTGTTCGATGAAATGCATAAACTAAATATATCACGTAATATTCACAAGTGAATATGTCTTTACACGAGAATCAATGTATGTCTTTTAAAAATACAGAGTAACTATGTAATTCATATGTGAATAACATATAAAAATTATTTTCACATGCAAATGCATGTAATATTCACAAATGAATACAGGTAATATTCATAAATGATAATGTATTTTTTTCGGAAAAAAAAAACATTGTTTTGAGGTCCTAAGCAAGTTTGTAATTCATATGTGAATAACATATAAAAATTATATCTGCGTGTGAACATATGTAATATTCACACATGAATATACATGTAATAATCAAATATGAATATATATATATATATATATATATATATATATATATATATATATATATATATATATGTATTATTCACAAATGAATAAATATGTCAATAAAACCGAGAACTAAAAATATATAAAGTTAAAGATAAAAAAAGCATTTGATAAGAATATATATTTATTCACATACAACTAATCTTTTTAGGTTAATAAAATAATTATATAAGCATATATATTTTTATTAATGTTATATTCATTTGTGAATAAATGATAATTTTTTTTTCGGAAAATTATAAAAATAGAAAAACGTCATTTTGAGGCCCTAAATAGTCCCGAATGGCCGAAAAACACCGTATGTCACGGCGAAGCAGTGAGTTTTGTAAATCGCACCATTTTACATCAAATATGCGAATTTCGTCCAATTCCGAGACTAAACTTCATTGCGGCAAACTGTTTTGATGATGTCACTAAATTTTCATTCCTACTAGTGATGACATCATCATAACATGCTATGTATTCATATAGAGGTGGCAATCGTGTCGTGTCGTGTCGGGTTCGTGTCGTGTCGAAACACTAAACGGGTTGAAAGTGTTTGACCCTAATCCGATCCACTTAATTAACGTGTCGTGTCGTGTCAACCCGTTTATTTTCGTGTCGAGTTTCGGGTTAGGGCTATACCTTGAAATATGTCGTGTCATGTGAGGTTAAAAGATTGAGCATGTTAAAAGAGTAGGAGTTCGGTAGGCGGAAAGGAAAAACTAATAGTTTGGAGGCAGAATAGATGAAGTCATAACAAGTTTATATGACAAAATTAAAAGAGTGGGAGTTGGGGAGGCGGATGAAAAGGTCGCGAGGATGTGAGAGTAGTGAAAGAGACTAGGTAGTTTGGGAGAGAATGGAAAAACTGAAATTAAGTCTTGATCTAGACGACTAAGTCATTTCAACATTACAAAACGACTCAATTCGAAGGTTTTCTTTTACTTATGGTTTCGGTTTTGTATCTTTCTAGTTTATTTAAATAATTCAGAAAACTTGCATATAAATAAACGGGTCATTTTTGAGTCATATTCAAGTTGAAATTCTCAACCCTAACCTTACCTGTTTAATTTTCGTGTCGTGTCGTGTCAACCCATTTATTTAAACGGTTTGAAATATCTTACCAAAACCCATTTATTTCGTGTCGGGTTCGTATCGAGTTTCGTGTCGTGTCAATTTTTGCCACCTCTATATTCATTTATGAATAAAGTTTAGAAATCATTACGACATATTTACTGTTGATGTTACTAACTTCCATCCCACTAGTAAAAACATCATTGTAATCTGTTATTTGTATTTATGTGAATAAAATATACATGTATATTTATTTATTTTGTGAATACAACCTTTATATATAAAAATAAAAAATACACTATAAGAATTGGTTTGTGAATAGTTTTTTTTGTATATTGTAACAATATTATTTTACATGTAAAATCAACATTATACTAAAACAAACAACATTGTATTGGTTAATGAATATCATTTGCATTTGAATTTAACACAATCAAAATGAAGAATATATTAAACTGTATAACATTTACACGTGAATATAAAAACATATTGTCTTCGTCAATGATATCTTCTCAATTACGTCAACCAATCGTCAACCACCAGGATATGAACAAACCATTGATTGAAATGTTATTCTTTTATTGAGTTATAACGATACCTGAAAAACATGTGAATACACATAAAAAATGTTAAAAATATACTTTTAGTTCATAATAATAGCGATTTATCACATTCTAATTATCACATGATATTTTCACACATGAATGTATAATCATATGTGAATATTATATGATATATGTTGTTTATATTGTATATTTACATGTGATATTACATGGTATATACACAAATGAATATTACATAGTATATTCACATATGAATATTATATGGTAGATTTACATGTGAATATTATATAGTATATTTACTTGTGAATATTACACATTCTAGTCACATCTAAATATTGCATGGTATATTCATCCATGAATATTATACAGTATATTCACATATGAATAATATATAGTATATACACTTGTGAATATGATACAATATATTCATATTTAAATATTAAACGATGCATTCACTTGTGAATATTACATAGTATTATCAATTGTAAGTATTAGATAATATATTCACTTATGAATATTAGATGATATATTCATATGTGAATATTACACAGTTTATTCATATATGAATATTACACAGGATATTAACATATGAATATTACAAGGTATATTCACAAATATATATAATTTTTATATGTTATTCACATATGAATAACATATAAAATATATATTTGTTTTGTGTTTTAATAATCATATACTGATTAAGGTGCGAAAACATATTCATATGTGAATATAACGTGATAATTTAGTTTATGCATTTCATCAAACAGTTGGAGTGCATACAAGTAAGCTTTTTCAAAAATGCTAAAAACAAGATACTTTGACTATTTAAAACTTACAAAATAGTAGATTGATAGAGAATTATATGAAATTTTTCCAAAAAAAAAAATGATTTGATGTTTTTCTAACCTTAATTTCGAAATTTTGTTTGATGATCGATGTTGAATGAATGATATGAAGTGAAGTTGTTGTTGATTATCGATGATGTTGATCTAATGACACTAAGAGTATAATTAATCGTAGATGTTGAAGATATGCTTGTATTCAAGCAAAATTGAAGGTTGGATTGAAAGAACCAAAAACAAAATTTTTTTGTCTACTGTTGAATGACGTTGATGAACGTGTTTTTGACGAAGATGGATGATTGATTAACACTGGATGATGTTGATTGAGGATTTAATTGAAGAAATCTGGATGATCGTTGAAGTTTGGAGAAGAAATTTGGATAATGAACAATGGAGTAGTAATGAATTTGAATTTATCAAATTATCCACAGTTACGTATATGTGATTGAAGGATATCATATCATATTTACAAGTTTGCCACCGTGTATTTTATGTTAAGGTGCTAATTAAATGATTGGCTGAGAATGATCCCCCCATTCTCAACCTTTTTTTTTCTCAATTGAACCCTCCTCTCTCTCTCTCTCTCTCTCTTATATATATATAATATATATATATATATATATATATATATATATATATATATATAT